CTCGCGAACGCCGCTTGTGCCCGCCTGGCCCTCCTAGACGCGGGCTCTCCCATGCCCTCGGCGACGTTCGCCTCGGCCACGTCGATGAGCCACTGCGCATCATCATCGATGTCCTCGCGGCAGGAGCTAGCAATGGAGCTCTCAAAGAAATCGCCCGCCTCCTTCGGGGGAAATTTGCGGATCCACCAACCACGTCGAATTCTCTTGAAGAAGCCGAACGAATCATGCAACAACGTACTCAAACACACCAGGGTGGACTCTGCCTCAGGCGAGTTCACGATCGCGCGATGAAGCTGGTCCGCACGCGACTTGAGCTTCACGCGCGCACTACGGAGATGCTTAAGCCACTGAACGACCTCCATGCCGTCAACGACTTCGGCTGATTAGGAACTGATACCGTCAACTGCTGCCGCATGTACTGCTGAGGACCTGCATGGCCGTGATGACGCTGTCTAGCAGCACCTTCGCGCATCCCATGTCTGTCGAGTAGCTCGGCCTCGAGGCCCGTCAGCACCTCGCCCCACCACTCTGCCAGGCTGTCGGCCGATCCAGCCTCAACGAGCCCCCGCTGCACCTGCTGCCATTCACGCACTGGTGGCAATGCGGGGCAGCCCGCGGGCAGCACGATGGGCAGAGGCTTCGGCCCCGCTGGAACTCGGCAGCACATGGAGCGGACCGCTTCCCGACACAACAACGACAACAGGCAAGTGCGGAAACGCGCCAACAGAAGTTGTCCACCGACGGGATGCCCATCTGCTGGGGGGAGCCTTCTGACTCGTAAAACCAGTTACGATGGGCACCAGGCGCGGCTTGAACACATGTCGGCTCGGCGCCGCTATGACGGATTCCTTTCAGCCCGAGGGGCCAGTCGCCGATGCCGCACACAGGGTCCACGTTCAAACCCGCACCTATGACCCGCGCCTGCCCAATCATGCTCATCTTAGCAATGTACTTCGCGATGGCCGTCAGCAGCTTGATCTCGTCGCCAGTAGGCCCGACCCCCGCGACAAGACATGCGGGCGTGCAGACGACGCCGCCCGACATGGCCCAATGGGCCTCATCTGCCACCGCGCGCCCAGGAAACAAGGTCGGGCCCTTGAACAAAGGGGCCGTGGACATCAGCAAGCGCGAGGGCGCCAGGACTGCAACCCCACCCGCTGGGCCGCCGCGGCCAGTCGAAATCGACGGGGCCCAGGTGCCGCGCATGTTGACATTCTGACGCCTGCGCTGGATGTCCGCGAGCTTGGATGCGTCGCAATGGTGCTCTTGGACCAGCGCAACTCCATGACTGTCCGCTGGCGCGCTCAGCAGCTTGATCAACGGGCCAAGCGGGGAGAGGGTTGACCGCGAGTATAGAGCTAGACAGAACCAGCTTAACATTCGACGAGGAATGGCTCCCGAGGTTCACTGCATCACTGTTTGTTTCAACCGCGTAACGACTTGACCAATCGGGACCTTCATGAACATCGGCATCGCCAAACCTGCGCCCCGAGCCTGGATAACACTGGAAAGCAGGGGCGCGGGCGATCAGCCTCTTCGCGCCTTCATCGACCGAACTGGCGGCCACGCCCCCAGACCACTGAAGCGCGAACACCGCGAGGACCAAGGAGATGGCCTTGCTCCTGCCCCTGCTTCTTGGCCCGAGCGCCGGCCGCTTCTCCGAGACGCATGATGACGGCCCTGAGCTGGGCCTCGTCCTCAGGAGGGTCCGCTCCGAAGGCCTCCCTGTAAAAGTCCTGCAGGTCTGGCAGGCCACCCGTGTCCGTGGGCACGTGGCCACCCTCGGCAGCACGAGCAGACCCATTAACGCGAGCTTCACCACCAACACCGCCATGAGCCGCAGCGCCTCCACCGCCCGCCTCGCGAGCACGGCGCTCCGCTGCCGCTTTATCGATCGAGAGCACGGAGGCGCTCGAACATGCCGACGACATCGCTCCGCATGCCCTGCTCGGTGCCAAGGCTCTCTGGCGTCTTGCCAACCTCGCCGATTGAGATGTCGATGCCCGAGATGACTGAGCGCAGCGACGGTGGTCCTGGCCGAGGGACTGCAATAGCCGCTGTGCGCCGCGGCTCCTCTGCCTCCACGAGCTCGCGCGCCGTGGCCGCGAGGGCGTCCCTCGCTTCGCCGAACTGCTCTGGAGTTCGCTAACATTGTGCTCGATCGCCTGGACATTCTCTGCCTGACGATCGCGTGTCTTCCCCAAGGCCTGGCATATGTTGACCAACTGGTGAAGCTGGACGTCCACGGGCTTCTCGCGCATGATCCGCTCCTTGTGCGCATCATACCCCGCAACCATCTCAGTCTTGCACTTGATGAGCAACGGGTCCTTCGAGCCCCCGGTCACTCTGGTGCCTGGCCTTCGAGCCTGGCCTCGGCTGTGTCTGAGCGAGAGGCGTCGGTCTGCGGGGCCTGTGCCTGCAAAGCAACACCACCCGACCCGACTCCCGCAAGGCCCCGAAGCTTCTCGATGTCCTTTGTCTTTGCCGCGGGCGCATTCTGCTGCTGCTCGAGGTTATTTTTGTCCGCCTGCAACCTCCTCTCCTCAACGAGACTGGGGGCGCGGAGCGACGGACTTCCGCCTGGTAGAACTTTTGGGCCCGCGGACGCTGTGCCCTTTCTTGCCCGGCAAATGCTGCAGGAAGGCATGTCCACGTGATTCCACCATCGTGTGCCATCCCTGGGGATAACGCACCACTTGCAATACCACTGCTGCGCTCCCGACCGACGTCTGGCTGCATGGCCATAGCAGGGCGAGAGGGTTGTGTCATCCGCTCCCTCAGGGGCGCACGAAGGGAAGAGAGCGAGAAAAAATGGAAGTGGAGAGTGAACCTCTCACAGCGAAAGCAGACGAGGGCCGCAAACCCTTCACGCCACAATACAAAGGTCCCTGAGCCGACGCGACGGACCTTGAGCCCAAGTGGCTACGGAGAGGAGGAGGAGGAGGAAGAGGAGGAGGAGGAGGAGGAGGAGGAGGAGGAGGGGGACAGGGACAGGCTATATCACGCCGTGGTCCAAGGGGTGGAAGGCGGCGCCGGAGCTTCTGTTCAGCTCTGCGGAGCTGCGTCGGCCCCAGCCCCTGCCCCAGTCGCGACGAGTATACGGTGAAGGCGTTGGATAAGGAACCGCTGGATGAGCAATCCAGGGTCTGGAAGCCAGTGGAAAGCCAATCGTGGATTGGCCATGGAAATCACCGCCGACCTCATCTGATAAGGAAGCCTTCTGAAGGCTCTTGGGCGCATTCCTTAACCAACGCCCCCTCCGTATAGCCGACTCGAGGGGGAGCCACCTTCCGAACGCATGGCTTCGACAGCTCACGTATAGAATCAGGATCAGGTCGGACATGCCCCCCTACAGGCAGATTCTGAATGACAAATGAAACGTAGCCCAAACATAATCAAATGTGGTCAAAGATAGTAAATGTTTTCACTATTTTTGAATGTTCCCCCTGTAGAGGGAAATGCCCGCCTTACACATAAAATGACGAGTCTCGGGCGATAGGGGGGAAGCCCTACCCCACTAGGGGACCTTCCGCCAGGCAGGCCAACTCGGTCCCCCAGGCCCCGGGTGCGCCCCACCGCGCCGCGCCGCTGGGCTCGACGAGAAACCCATCCAGCCGCGACAGGCCCCCCAACGTTCTGATGGGCAAATTTTCCACCACCGCCGCCGTATGCAGGACGGGAGAGAAGGGAGGACGAGTAGGTGCTCCTCCTCCTCCTCCTCCTCCTCCTCCTCTTCCTCCTCATTATCCGACTTGTGGTAGTAGTGGTAGAAAATGGACCCATCAACTTTCGACCTGTCAGACACCGAGCTGAGGCCCCGCTTCCCATCGCAAACAGCCGCTCCTCGTGATACGGGCGGTGGGAGGGAGCAGCAACAAAGACGGGCGTCCTCGCTCCTCTTGGTGCGTCTGCGTGCCCTTGGGTTTGCGCTTCCGTGGTCGCTTCCTGGTGGAGGTGGGTTCGCTCTGCTTCCCCTCGATCCTCAGGGCCTTCACTCCCAGGGCGCCAACCGAGACGTCAAGATGGCCCCAAGAGAGAGAGCCCCAGGTGGCCCCAACATTCTACCGAGACGGCCCACGATGGACCTACTACGGCCCAGTGTGGCCTCAGGGCGGCCAAAGATGCCCCGAGACGCACCAAGTTGCTCCGAGTGGAACTGCGGCGAGTGCCAGATGGGGGATGTCTGTGGGGTGCGGACCAGTAAACGCCCGAGAATTCAACCTTGCGGCGGTTCACTGGGAGGCCCGCTTTCTCCGCCAAATCGCAAGGCGAAGACACAGCGGACCACCTCCGCTATTTGGTTGGCATCCTGTATCGTATAATGGAAATCAGGATTGAACCGAAAAGGCTTCGGATGGCATCGCTGTGGATGCGACGGTGACGGCGATGGAGACGGCTATCGATGCGACAACGGTGGCGACGATGGCGACGAGGCAACCCTCACGAGCATGATGCGCGATAAACAAAATGGTGGCCCACGACGCGTCTCTTCACCGAACATGCTCAGTCGGGCACATACCATGACGCGCGAAGATGCCATCATGATCCGCATACACACACATGCAGACTCACTCACAACTACACTCAATCATACTCGCATCCGGCCGCTTACACTCGGACCCAATCCCGCCCAGACTCGGTCATTACTCAGCCTCCTGTGTTCAGATTCGCTCACACTCAGACCCACCTTAACACAGACAATCAGATGATATAGTGCAAGAACACACATGCACACATCGGGATCTCCGCATCATGTGGCGGATTCCGGAAACCCTGAACACAAAAATGTTGTCATCTCATTGGGGGCGCATTATTTCCTTTCGCCACCTTCCGCCGCCCTGCCGCCGGCGTTCGCCCGCGGAGGCGGCCTCGTTTTACTTCCGCCAGATTCCGCCGACCTTCCGCCGCCTTCCGCCGCGGAGGAGATGCCAACTCCTTCAACGCTCGAAGGCGAGGCCGTGTCTCGAACGCCTCATATGGGGATATCCGCGTCATGCACGCTTCTTCCCGGGGGACCTGGATTCGCACTTCGTGCTCTCCTCCTCGTAGATGATCAAGGCGTTGCCGAGGATAGCGTGCTCCAGGCCGCCGTCCAGGATGTGGCTGCCGCCGTCCCGCGGCGCCGACGTGGAGAAGATCCCCGGGTCGGAGCGGTTCCCGCGCACCCTCTGCCTGTCCCTGGCGGGGCCAAGCCATACGTGGCCGACTCGGAAAATCCATGATCTGAAAATGCTGAAGTGTCGGGATTCAGACAACCTGAACTTATGAGGTTCCAACCTACTTTAGCCTTGACCACCAGAAAGAATCTCGAGCACCAAGAGAATACCGAAACTGGAGCGTTTTCGCGTGTCGGGCCCTTGGAGGCGATACTCGCTCGACACTGTTTCGATACATGTCTGGGTGCTCGAAATAATTTCTGGGATGTGGTCCTCAAGTACGATGGGAGCAATAACCATGAACCCAAAAAGGCTGCCATCCCTTAGGAGGGCGACTCCAGCTTCCGCCGGCCTCTTCCGCCAGCGGAGCCGCCGCCGCTGCACTTCTGCTGCCCTCCGCCAACCTTCCGCCGCCTTCCGCCGAGGAGGAGGAGGAGGAGGAGGAGGAGGACGAGGAGGAGGAGGAGGACGAGGAGGAGGAGGAGGAGGAAGAGGAGGAGGAGGAGGACGAGGAGGAGGAGGAGGAAGAGATGACCACTCCCTCTATATCGAGAAGCGCCGAGGCCCCTCCTGGAACGCTCCGCGCGTCGCTTCTGCATCCGCCGCCTCCCCCCAACCTGCCGCCGCGCTCCGCCGAGGAAGAGATGGAAACTCCTCCTGTCCTCGGGTCGGGCGTGTCCCCCTACAGGCGGAAGTTCGAGGAAAGCGAGAAAACAGTCAACACATGCCACAAAAGGATCAAACATAGTAAAAGATTGCTCTCTGACTACTTTTGACTATTTTTGAACAGTCCTCCTGTAGAGGGACAGGCCCGACTGAATCTTATCCTCGAAGGCGACGCCCTTTCTGGCAACGCTCCATGTGTCACTTCTATACTTCCGCCGCCTTCCCCCGACCTTCCGCGTTCCGCCGAGGAGGAGATGACAACTCCTCCGATCGGTTCAAAGATGAGGTCCTGAGGGATGGGGTTCTAAGGTTAGGAAGGGATCCAAGGTTGGCTTTACGTTGTTTGAGGCCCATCGCCCATAGGACCCCATCCCTCAGGACCCCATCTTGGAGCGGTGGGGCAGGGCTCGCCTGTGGCCGCCCAGTGTCTCGTCCACCCTCTGCCACAATCATGCCGGAAGTCTGGAACCCACTGCTTGCTTCAGCACCTGCGCTCTGCCTCTGCTTCGGCCTCGCCGGGGGGCGCCTGGGACGTCCCAGGGCCATCCGGAATGTGTCCAGCACGGAACGCTGCCAATGGGGGACATCTGCGCGGGAACACCGAAGCTACTTGTACTGCACGTCGGGCGCGGCCGACGGGCGATGAAGACGAGGTGTTGTGGCCCCTCCGGCGCAAACATATGTCGCCGCGCGCGCCATGTGCTGTCGACGCGCCCAAGTGGACGACGTCGACGCCACGGCAAACCCATGACAAACCCTGCGCAGCGCGCCCCAACGAGACGACGCGGGCAACGCGGCAAACCCTCGGCGAACCCGCAGCGTGCGAGGCGGCGCTTGCCCTGGGGGCCGCGGCGCCCTCTCCAAGACGCAGGGCCGCGCGTCGGAACAAACGGCGCGGTGACATCTGCTGGAGCCCCGGCGCGTCAAGGCCGGCGTTTCAACAGAGCGCGGCGCCGTAGACTCGGCCCTTGTTTAGAGGGAAGAAGCAGCCTCATAATAAAAAGGCCTACAGTAGGGGCTCGACCACAAAAAAGCCTTCCACGAGAAACTCAACCCTGAGACCCCAGGACGTCAGTCGGTTTTTCGTGTGGGAACGTCCCGCTTTCCATCGCAAGACCATCGACCCCCAAGAAACCCAGAGGGCACCCTGCAGGCAACCAGGGCGTTTCTTGGCAAGGGCCCACACTGGAAGGCAAGGGTCGATGAGCAAAGGACTGGGCTATGGGACACGCCCGGGACTGCTGGGCAAACGCCAGCTGCTGCGGCCAGGGGTGGTCTCGCTTCCCTCGGCTCTTGGGCCGCGGCCCCCGCCTGGGCGCGGGCGCGGCGGCCGCGGCAATCTCGCTGCGCGTCTTGCGCGAGGCGCCCTCCTGCGCAGCGGGCGCCGCCGCCGGGTCCTCCGTGCGGGCGGCCGATGCCGCCGTGGTCGTTGTCGTCGCGGTCGTGGTCGCGGCCGCCGTGGTCGTGGTCGTGGTCGTGGTCGTGGCCGTCGCCGTCGCCGTCGCCCCCGCCGTGGTCGCAATTCTTGGTCGTCGCCGTGGTCGCAGTCGAGGTCGTCGTGGTGGTCGCTGTCCGATCCACCACCGGGTCAAATAGGTGCGTGCACCCACTCGGGATCCATCCTGGTCTCAAGTGTCCGAGCCGCGCCTAGTAGCCGCGGCGACGAAGAACCTCCAGCACCACCCCCAAAGCCGCCGAAACGGAGACGTCGACGTCGACGTCTTCGAGATCGACGTCCTCGACATCGACGCCGTCGCGTTCGAGGCCGTCGCAGTCCTCGTCCGCTAAGTAGAGGCCCTCCGGCCCTCTGGAGGACCCGGGGGGCCCGGACAAGGCCAGAGGCGTAACGAAGAGAAACGGACGATCGTCAGACCTCGAAGCTTACTTCGGCGGCGAGCGAGGGGGGGAGTGAGAATAAGAAGGCCGTCTCAGAAGGCGGCGGGACTTCTCAGAAGGCCTCGCGCCTCCCGAGAAGTTTTCTGCGTCCTCGGGAAAGGCTCAGACAAACTCTCAGAAGGGACTTCCGAACCCTCCGAGAAGGCCCGCCCCTTCTCACTTCCTGTGTCGGTCTTAGCGGGAGCTGAGGGAGCTGATTCATTGGCGGGGACGCACACGCGGCCATCTTAGCATCCCTTCATCACTAACAACGTTTTTCGAATGCCCATTTATCTTTTTGGGTTCTACAAGTAATCCACCGAGGGATCATCTGTGCGCACATTTAAATCCTCCTCCTCCTCCTCCTCCTCCTTTTCCTCCCCCTCCCCCCTCCTGGCTCCTTTGACATTAGAGGTTCGGGTGACATGTGTGGGTCTAATGTAAGATAGTTGCGGTGGCCGGGCGGACTCCTCCCCATCCCCCTAATCATCCTCATGCTCCCCCCTCCTCCTCCTTCCCCTCGGAGGGCGCCGGAGCAGGCGGGGTCGCCCGCCCGCGCCCGGCGGAATCCCCGGGAGCCTCTGAGAGCACCGGGGACTTCCGAGAGTCCCCGCGAAATCACAGAAAGCCACGGGGAACCGAAAACATTCGACGATCGACGAGCACCACGATGGCGGCGACGACGACGGCGACGATGGCGACGGCGGCGACGGCGGCGACGGCGACGATGATGATCGACGACGGCGGCGACGGCACGACGACGGCGACGACGGCGGCGACGACGGCGGCGACGACGGCGACGGCGGCCCCCTGCGACCCAAGCCCGCCCATGGCGGGGGCGCCGGGCTTGGAGGCCCTGGCCCCCGAGCGGCTCTGTCGGGGCGGCCACCCCATATCCCCCCGTTTGGTGGGGGGGCAGAGGAGGAGGACGCGGAGAAGAATGAGGAGGAGGAGGATGATGATGAATGGAGGTGTTGTGTGAGGCGGCAGAGGGAGAGGGAAGGATCGACGGATGTATGATGATATTAGCTCAGTTGTGGTGCGTGGTGCACCCCAGATCTCTCGAGGTAAACTTGGCAGCCTCAGCGCTCTCACGCGCTAGATTCGATCCGACAACCATCACAACAACACTCATTGATTATTCCCTACCTAGGCTCTGCCTAGAGGGTTCTTATTTTGTTTGCTTAATGGGGCCGGGCAGTGTAAAACGCCCTGGGCGGTTCCCCCAGTCCCCGCCCCGCGGTCCCCCCAGGATCACCCGCTTTGCCTAGCCTAGCTTAGCTTAGCTTATTTGCTTAGCTTAGCTAAGCATAGCTTAGCTGAGCTTAGCTCGGCTTAGCTTAGCTTAGCTTAGCTTAGCTTGGCTTAGCTTGGCTTAGCTTAGCTTAGCCTAGTTTAGCTTAGGTTAGCATAGCTTAGCTTACCTTAGCCCAGCGCAGCATAGCGCAGCGCAGCATTAGCACAGTACAGTATAGCATAGCATAGCCAAGCATAGCATAGCACAGCATAGCTCAGCATAACATAGCATTGCATATCATAGCGTATCGAAGCATAGCATAACATAGCATTGCTTAGCATAGCACAGCGCAGCATAGCATAGCACATCACAGCACATCATATCATAGTATAACGCAGCATAGCATAACGCAGCATATCATAATATAGCATAGCGCAACATAGCATAACCTAGCATCGCTCAGCGCAGCATAGCATATCATAGCATAGCCTTGCATCGCATAGCATAGCGCAGCATAATCATATCATAGCATCGCATAGCGCAGCATGTAATAGCATAGCGAAGCATAGCTTAGCTTAGCTTACCTTAGCTTAGCTTAGCGCAGCATAGCGCAGCGCAGCATTAGCACAGCATAGCATAGCATAACATATCATCGCATATCATAGCATAGCATAGCATGCAACGCAAAAGCAACACCAACGCGAACGTTTAGATGTATATGTAGATGTAGGTGTAGGTGTAGATGTGGATGTAGGTGTAGCTGTAGATGTATATGTAGATGTAGGTGTAGATGTAGGTGTGGATGCTAATGTAGATGTGAGTCTCGCTGTTGATGTTGATGTATATGTAGATGCAGGTGTAGATGTTCATGTAGTCGTCGGTGTAGATGTATATGTTGCTTTCCTAGATGCTCCAACTCCTAGGTAGGGTCGCACTGGGATAATATCTGAATCGATTGAAGACAACACGTTTCACAACAGAACCATTTTCTCCATGAGCCGCAACCGTGCTTCGGGGTACGAGTTGGAGAGTCCTCAGGTCCTTTTGAGGCCCAAGGGGTGGATTTCCTCAGGAGGCTGCGGGCCAAGAGGGTCCAATGAGGCCCCCAAAACTATCCAAGAGGGCCTTGATACTGGCCAAGAGCGTTCCAAGACGCCCAAGACGGACTCAAGACGGCGGCCCAAGAGCCCCCCAAGAAGGACATATCGCCGAGTTAAGACGGGCCAGGGGCCTCCAAGAGTCCAAAGAGGGCCGCAAGGAGCCCCAAGAGGAGCCTAAGAGGGGGAACGCGAATTGTCAGTCCAAGCCTGCCCCTTGCCCCAGTAACCGCCAGCAGCCCCCGGGAGTGAGTTCCACGGGAGCCCCCGAGCCCAACCCCCTGGAGGCCCCAAGGGTGCCCCCGAGTGTTCCCCAGATGATCCAGAGAGGTTCCCCTACAGACCCCAAGAAGCTTCTGATCCAGGCGCAGTGGCGGAATAATAGGCCGCAGGCCGCTTGATACTAGAAACCACCGAGACGTCCATCGCGCAAGTCGATTGCTTGGTGAGCTCATGATTTAGGTTGCTTCGAGCAGCGCTATCTATCCAATCCAGTGCAAAAGAGATTGGCTGCAGACGCCCCCCCTGTAAACCCCTGGCGACCTGTCGACCCCGGCGACTGGTCCGCAGGGAGGGCTTGTGATCAACGATTCCATCGGAATCATTCAAATTGAAACTCGCAAGCTCTGGCGCAGCCCTCAGCGAAAGTCGTCGCCATCTGAGCAAGGATCCTCCTTGTCATCCCACGCGCTGCCGTCCGAGAGCGAGAAAATCGACCCGTCTCCACCCTCGCCGTCTTGGTCAATCGTCTTCTTGGGCTTCTTCTTGGCCTTAGCCGTCGTGTCCTTCTTGCCGGCGGCATCGTCCGCCCCCAGCTTCTTAGGCTTCTTTCCCCCCTCGGGATTGCCGTCTTCGCCCTCCTTCTTGCCAGGCCTCGACCTCTTCTTGGGCTCAGCCTTAGGATCATTCCCAGTGGACTTCATGATGGCGGCGATCGCGGTGCTGTAGATCGGGCTGCCAGTGGTCTTCATCTAGGCAAGCACGGAAGTCCGCGTCATGGAGCGGATCTGTTCCGCATGTTCGGTGGTCATGCACAGACCGTAGTATCCAATCCTAAGTTTGGCGCAGGCGAAAGCCGCCCCGCCGCATTCAGGGGTCATGTCGTAGACGACCTTGACGTAGAAACGCTTGAAGAGGGCCTCGAAGAAGGTCGATGGGAGCGAGTGGAAGAACACGCGCTCTACCGATGCATCAGGGCGTTTCTCCTTATCTCCGTTGGGGCATAGTCCTCCCGCTGGGATGCGCCAAGAGCCATAGATCTTCTTCTTGTTCAGCACGGTGTCGACCCACTCGTTGTCGGGGTTGCCGAGCACCACGGGCCCCAAAATAGTGCCACGATTGGTCTGGCCCTGGTAGATGTCGCACGCACGCTCTGGGAGGCAAATCGGAGTCTTCGATGCAAGGTGGACTCGAAACGTCTGGCACAGCAGCGCCGTGCCCCTCACTTTGCCCTTCCTCGCCTTCGCCGAAGACTCCAGCATGAAACAGTCGACCTTTCGTTCGCAGTAGCCCTTCTTCTTGACCTCGACGTCGCCTGGATCTGCATCGTCATCCAGGTCATCCTCAGCGTCCTCTCCCTCCAGCTTCGTCGTCTTCGCCAGGCCTTTGACCCAAGGCTTGATCAGGCGCTTCACGAGGCCTGGCCTGGAGCCATCCAGGCAGCATGCCAAATCGCCTTCGTTGAGGGTGGCGTTCGAAGCGTCCTCGCCTCGGAAGCGGCCCATCATGATCGCGGCCGCTGCTCGCTCGTACAGTTTGTCTGGCACAGGGGGCTTGCGGGACCTGGGTTGCGATGCAGCATCGCACCAAGCGTCAGCATTGAAGAGAATCATGGCGAATCCGCTTCCGTCCCCGGCCTGCTTTGCCAGCTCGCTCGACTCTGTCATAGTCTTCAGCTCGTCCATATGGGTGGGGTAGACGTTAAAGGAGCAGTACCTGCGCACGTGCTTGTCCAACTCTCTGTTGAGATCTTTGAGCTGCGTCTCCTCGAGGGCCTTCACTGCTTCCTCTAATTTGGTGTTCTCAGCGCCAACAGCGTGCGTAATGGGAGAGGCGGTCGGTGCACCATTCTTCTCGTCATCGGCGGTCATGGTGATGTCGCAGGCTGGGGTCGTCGCCTCAGCCTCCAGTTGTTGAAGGCACTTGTCCAATTCGGTCTTCACGGACGGGTGCTCCACAAATTCCAACA